TTAGTATAAAATTTTGGATTGTGTCAAATGTATACAAATGCAAGAGAAAAACTTTAAAACCAAGTTATTTTAAATTTATACTTTCAATTTTGTATTTTATTTTTTTAAACAATTTATTTTTTTCCATCAAGTAATGGTTAAAATATTACCTTTCCAATATAAGAAATAGAAGTACTTTAATTAAATGCCTTTATTAATAATGGAACATTCTTTATCAAATTCCATTTCGGCTTGTTTTTTATATTTTCGTTCATATAAACCTCCAGATTTGTTTCATATAGTTTTCAAATATTTTCATATCACTTTGTCCCCTAAACCACTTTGATTGGTACCTATTTAATAATTTGTAAACATAAAACATGGAGACATAAAAATTGAATAATCTCCATTTCTCATTTTCAGTTTACATTTTTTTATTGTGACAGTATTTTATTCAAGTTTTGGCTCTTCTAACCTAACATGTAACATGTGACCGTAAAGGTGTACTTGTGAGGCCTGTTAAAAAGAAGAAGAAAATATTTCTAACGGACAGCTAACTTCAATACGCCGACCGTTTAACGGACGGCGAGACACTGCCTAAATATAAATAATAATAAAAAATAAAGGTTATGTTTAATGTTATACTCTGCTTGTAAATGTTTTTTTTATATTTTTAAATTGAAAAAATATTTAGAAAATAGTAATCATGGAGGCAGTTGTTTCACAATTAATAAACAATCGAAATGTTTTCAAATAGTATGATAGATATAAATGTAGTGTTAACCTATCGCGAGGAACACATGAGAATTCAACAATTTGCAGAAAATTGGACTGAAGAGTATATAGATTACGACTTTTTTTTCAATTATTTCGGATGAACCGGCAAACTTTTAATAATTTACTGAATTCAGTCACCGAAGAACTGCAAAAACTTTTTGTAGAGAGACACTGGCCAATTCCTGCAGATAAAATGCTCCTGAATACACTTTGGTGGCTAGGAAAAGGTAAAGTACTTCTGTCAGTTGCAGATGGGTTTAATGTGTGCCTAAGTGCAACCCATCGATGTACGGAAATAGTTATAAATGTACTTTTAAATGTTCTTAACATATACATTGTGTGGCCAGATGAGGAAGAATTGAGGCCAATTTTAAAAATAAGGCGGAATTTCCAGAGACAACTGGAGCTATTGATATATGTAATATAAAATTCAAAGCTCCAGCAGACAGAGAAGCTGATTATATTGATAAAAAGCAGTAGCATTCAATAAAATTACAAGAAATAGTAATTGTTGACAAAATGTTTACCAATATAATGGTGGGTTTCCCAGGATCAGCTCATGATAGTAGAGTGTTGAGAAACTCCGGAATATTTCTAGATGTTGAAGAAAATGGTAACTTTAGAAAATATTTCCCACTTCATCATTATCACATTGTAGGAGATTCAGCTTATCCTTTAAGGAATTGGTTAATGAAACCCTACAAAAGAACTATGCAAATGGATGCAAGAAAGCGGAGATTTAATATAAAGCTCAGCCAAATAAGAATTGTAGTTGAACATGTCTTTGGCCTTCTAAAATCCAGATTTAGAATTTTAAATTACATCAATGTAAACAGCGTAGAAAAAGCTGTAAAAATGATTACAGTTTGCTGTATCCTTCACAATTTGTTTAATCAATCATGAACCATGGAATGAATATGTACCTTTGGAAGAAGATGATGATGGTTTTAATGTAGATGAGGAAAATGAAGCAATCCAGAAACGAATTGACATTACCTATACGTTAAGGGATTGAATTTATATTTTTGATTAATTTTTATTTATATAATGCTTTTAATTAAAATAAAAATACAATATTTTAAATTTGGGTAATCGATAATGTTTAACACTAAATAAAACTTAAAAACATTTTCTAAACTCTGGTTAAAATTAAAAAATAAAAATAATACTAATTCAAACTGAAAAATATTTTCTAAATCCTGATTAAAACGAAGAAAAAAAAATAATTTAAACAAAAATAATAAAATTAAAGTACTTAAATAACAGTCTTTAAGAATAAAATGAAAACGTAACATTAAGTTATCTATTTATTTTCATTATCTTTTCTTTGTTTTAATATCTCTATCATCCCCATTGTTTGTTGGTGCCTTTCTTCATTTTGTTGTTTAACAGCTTCCAAAAGTTCAGCAAATTGTTGCTGTCTTAATGTTCGTTCTTCTCTTATTACATTCTCTACTGTAGTTAGAACTGTTCTTGGTCTAATACTCTTTTTTATTTTAAACCGATTATTTTGAACCACCTCTGTTTGCCGAGTCTCTTGGGGCAATCTTGTAGCAGAACAAAAGGGTTGTCCTAAAGAAGATGCTTGTCCTAAAGAAAAGGGTTTTCCTAAAGGGAATTGTTCTAAAGATGAGAGTTGTCCTACAGAAGAGTGTTCTCCTGAAGAACAAGATAATTTAGGGTTTTTTTGAGTGGGGGAAACTTGAATCGATAGTAAATGCTGGATTTGCTTTATCACTATTTCCTAGAATGATTTCTAACTCACCATAAAGTGGTGGCTTTTTTACAAATCCCTCACCTGTGTGACGAATTTGGTCCTTGTATTTAAAAAAGGTAGTCTGTAGATTCATAAATTTCTAACGATACTTCTCTTTGCCAGGAACACCCTCACCTACACGGCATCCCATACTAATCATTTTTGTGGCTATTTGTAGCCATAACTGGTTTTTAATGATCTTTTTATTATTGATTTCTTCATTTAAGTTACTCCTTACTTCCAAAAAAACTGTTGTTGCTTTTAAACTCCAAATTATGTTAATTTTTACATCTTCAGGACCAAACTGTTTGCTCCAATTCTGCCAAGTAATGGCTTGCAAAATGTGAATCTGAAAAATATGCTTGTTTTTACTCCTTCATTTTATGTAAGAATACACCTAGTTAAACAATAAATAGATAATATGTACTTACCTTGTAAATTGTTGTAGGTAACTGTATCCACTGTAAGCAGATATTTTCCTAAATTTATTTCAGACATTCCTTCCTCCGTATCAGTTAATTTCTATTACACATTACTCTGTCATAAGCACAATGTCATGAGTGATAATCAAATATTTGTATTTGAAACCGGCAAGCTTTTGATTTTAAATCTGACAGGTGAAAGTTTTAAATCATTTGACCAATGACGTCATAGTTCGATCGCTAGAACGAATGTATTTAAATCATAAAAGTAATACGTTTTAAATACATGAACTCTAGAAAATACCTCAGAAAATCTTATGAAGATAATGCAATTGGTTATGTGCAGCTTAAAAGAGAAAGAAAGATATGTATTGTCAAAGCAAAAATTGTTAAGTAATGCTTTACTTGGAGCGACATCTGTCGGTTGGTGGTTGAATGAATTTGAGTGGAAGGAGATATACTGAGGGGTTCTGCATTTACTTTAAGTAGACTGTGTAAGATAGCGCAATGTTTAGGGTTGGTAGAAAGATAGATGTTTTACGACAACGATAATAAGCCTGCTCTGTTCTTGTTCGTTACAAAAGGCCGTTATAATAGTTTTTAAGTTAAAGCTAAAATATGTACAAAAAAATAATGTATTATAAGTGTAATAAAGTGTAAATAGCATATGAAGAGCTTTATTAATGCCTATAAATATAAAGAAGAAATAACAAATGCCTATAAATATAAAGAAGAAATAATAACAAAAATAACACCCGAGCATAAAATAAAAAAATAAGAAATACAATGTTTTTGCCAGAATTGATGAGATACAGAATATAGTTCTGAAGTGTACTTGTTTGGATTGTGCTTGGTATTTTTAAATTTAAACCATTTCAACAAAAAAGGGTAATCTTGTGGTTTAGTGTCTTTATAATGAGCATGTCTACTCCACTTTGCACTGACTTTTAGAATTTTAATTTTACACTTGCCACATTGCAATATGCTCATTCATGTTTTGCAGATTGTTTTTATCTTTTAATTTTGAGGGCAAGGAACATATGTTTCACACAACTTAAAGGTAATTTTTACTGATTTCTAAAAAATTTCCTTGATCTTGAAATATACGTTTGACAGCAACTCTGATATAGGACACTAAACTAAAAGCTGAAGTTTATCAGTAGTCCTGAAGAGTGTTATATACAGGGATGGAAAAAACTGAGAATTAAAAAATGTATAGGTAGGTTTTTAGGTTATTTAAGTTTTTTAATTCATATATTATAAAAGTTAGTTTCTAATAGTTGAACAAAAAAGACCTAAAAATAAAAAATAAATATCAAGAAGTTCCACAGTGATAACCTTTGATAAAATATCTTCATTTGTTTTTATATACAGTAATTTTTGCACGCTTTCTCCTGAGAGTTGATTGTAAAATTCTAAATATTAATCTTAAAAAACTTAAAATTGTAGAATTTATACTTTTAAGTTTTTTTAAAAACCTAGGTGCAAAAAAATGTCAAACAGAAACTTTTACCTTCTATATAATGTGTTACTGTAACGCTAGATTATTCATTATTTATCATAGGATATGTATATTACTAAAAACATAAAAAATGTTGAATACAATGTAACTGATTTTGAAAAAATGGGCTCTTGCCTCCCAAGGCTACTAAGCTGAAAAAAATCAATTAGATGTTAAATCATTAAAATTTTCCTCAATTACAATTTTATTAATATATTACGAAATAAAAGGTGTGACAATTTATTTGAATTTAAATGAATTATACATTTGAGGCTTTTAAAAAGATATGTATTTTTTCAAAATTTATTAAAACACGCTTTATCCTTAGTTTACTACAAAGAAGTCGAGTGTGTATTAGTTTTCATTTTTATAATTTTTGAAAAATATTATTACTTTTTCTTTGATAGTTTGAAACTGAAAAAAATTACAAAAATCGCTACAAAAAAAGGAAACAATATTTGAAGTTGTGTATTCACAGGTTAAACAATTATATTTCAAATGTGTCCCCTAATCCTTATTTTTTGTCGTTATTACAGGTGGATGTAAACATTCTACTGCATTTATCATGTGGTTGCAACGAAAATGTGAACAACCTTCTGTTACATCCCAGGTGTGCTACTGGAAAGCGTCTAAACTGAGCAAAGCTGTTATAGAGCAAGACGGATTCAAATTAGAAGATTTGGTAGATAGAGAAATTCCATCCCTTAGAAACAAGGATAACTTTTTGGAGAAAGTAAAAAGTTTAAGCGGTACTGGTCCACTATTTGATGTATATAAGAAGTTTATATTTGAAGATATATCACTGTTCCACCTAATTGAAAATTTTCAAGGCACAAAAACTGATCAATCTGAGAATTTTATTAGTTTTGTCTGTAAAAAAATGCAGAATAACACATGTGAAAAAGCAGAAATTGCTACCCAAGATCAATCAAAATCATCCCAATGGTGGGACAGAATTACTGCATCAAAATTTTATGAAGCTGCCCATTGTTGGACTACAGATGGTTCTTTAATAGAAATAATTCTTGGTGCTTCAAAACTAATAGGAACAACCGCAATGGTAAGGGGAAAGACATTAGAACCTGAAGTTTTAAAGATTGTTGAAACGATAAGAAAAATTAAAATTTTACATTATGGACTAATTTTAAATAAAGAATATCCATTTTTTGAAGCCATCACTTGATGAAGAATATTTCATAGAAGTAAAGTGCCCATCAAAAAATAAAACTGTAGAAAATTATATATAAAATGGGGAAAGAAATATAAAATATTTAAGTCACATGCAGTTACACAAATAAAATCTCTTTTTGTATAGTTTTACCTGACTTTGAACATAACAAAGAAGTTGATATCTATAAAGACTTTAATCAAACAAATTGTAACAATATGTTAGATTTAGCATTACTATTCTGGAAAATGCTGTATTTCCTAAAATTTGTAAATTATTTTTAAAATAAATATTTAAATTATTTTTCTCTAGATTGATAGAAATAAAAGCTGATCTAAGGTATCTGTAACGTTTGGAGGGTGGGTACCACCACGACACTTAGGCCTCATATAGGATTTTTAAAAAGTAGTTGCATACATTTTGTTGGAAAATACACTATTTGTAATGGCCTCGTATAATGATTTTTTTTGTACGTTATTTAAGTTATTTGACTGTTAGACAACCAATTATGGCGAACAGCGTATTGTATGTTGCATACCTACCTTTTTAAACAATTATTTATATTCACATAAAAAATCAAATTAGTTCACCGCTTCGTTTTCAAAAAAATGGTTGTTGCGACATCGATGACAGATCTGATCAATATTAATGATAAATGTCAATTAATTCATAGTGAATTGTTTAAAATAGTCATAATTTTTCCTCTGTGTTGATTGCAGTTATTTAGTGAATGGATAATGTACTCAAAGATAAATAAATTTAAATAAAATTCAAATTGTATTATTTCATTAAAAAATCAAAAAGCAAAACCCATCTATCGAGTGAAAATGAGATGATGGAAAAAGAAATCCGTTATCATCCACATTTTTTTTAATATTATCGCGACGCCACTGGAACTCATAATTATCTTCTATTTAGTAATAGCTTATCACAATAAAGAACACTGCTGAATTTTAACAAAATTGACAAAAGGATCTTTGAGATATTAATAAAAAACTAATTTAAAAAAAAAATTTGACATCCTGCATCTTGAAAACTAGAATTTTTCTACTTGAACTTGGTTCAGGAATGCGCCATTGGAGTTAACATCTTCTATGAAAATCGACGCTATTAAAATTAAAAAAAAATATATTTTTAAGTAAAATAATAATCATGTTAAATCGTACTGTTTTTAACATATATATTTAATATTAGCAGTTTTATATTGCCAAACAACAGTTATAGAGAATATAGTGCAAAATTCTTAATGGTGGTACGAATATAAACATTAAACCCAAAAGTTCCATTTGTGAAAAACATTTTAATGCAAAACTGCCAAGAAATCCACTAGAACACGTTGTTTTTCAAAAATATATTTTTAATGTCCTAAAAAGTCATGTAAGTGTGAACAAACAGGTGAAAAAGCTCCACCTTTAACCGTCTTAATTTCAACGAAAACTACAAAATTCAAAAAAAAAGACAGAATATAAGCTGAATTAAAGTTTAAATCCAATTTTTATTCAAGAAATTACCGACTATATTCGTTAAAACAATCACTACGCATGAATTGTTGCAAGAAGCGGAAGCAAGAGGTGAGGAAACAGGCAATGTACAGCTGGTTTTTAAGAAAGAGTATCATATTCCGGGTGTTCATCCAGAATGGAAAAACCAGAACGTCGCAGAGAACGAAGTTGCAAGCATGTTTCTTTTCGAAAACGAATGTGTTCCGAACTTTGATCACGATGGCGTAAATCAGGTCGATGAAAGACGTCACATTCAAATTCATCCACAAAGTCCACACATTGATCCAATGACATAAATTGGCAGTGCATTCCATACGTACCTCTGCGACTTAATCAGATGTGGCATCTCATCTTCTTGCTGCAGTATAAAGCAGATTTGTGACATTACTCTCTAGTTATTATTATTTTACAGGCGATAGTGGTTATTAATTACAAAAATATATTCTTACGTCTGTTGTAGTGGCTGTCAAGCAAGGTGAACAACTTTATAATGAATCTGACATTCGCACACGAGGAATTATTAAAAGAACGATTGGAATTTGGAAAAGAAGATTTATCTATTTTAGCTTATGGGTGCAGACTATAACTTGAAACGACATTAGAGGTTATTGTGGCAGCAGAGTTTCAACAATTATTGAGAAATCGAAAAATTCCCATTATACAACCTAATGGGCAAAATGTTTTGGCAGGAAATTTTGTTGGACAGAACTTAATTGCAAATTATTTTAATGTTATAAAATCATATCATCAAATATCTATGTACAAGGACAAATAAAAGTTTGCTTGATGTTACAAATATTTTTATTGATAATACATATACCTATTGTTAATACTTACATAAAGAAACCTTAATATAATATTGAAGAATAACGTATTTCCCAATAGTTTTGGTATAAAACATTTCACCGTAACCGTAATCCGTAACTGTTGGTTGTTATGCAAAAATAATATTCGCTTTGTTTGTTTAGTCTATAGAGATTAGCTTTCTAGCAGGCTGACTAAATTATTCTTTATATTATTGTCAACAATATATATGTTATATAAAAATTCACACTATATATTATAACATAGTAAATTCACTAGAGTTAAATAATGCTTAGTTGCAATTCCTAGAATGTTTGTCATTGACCTCTAGGATTATATTCAGCTAAGTTGCATTTCTTGTAAATGCAACACTTTCGTCACCTTACACCTTTCTGCTATATCTTTTGTTTTACCTACTGTAAAGTGACGTCAGTATTGACAACAAATTAAGACGAAAAGCGAAAAATGCCGTCTCAGCTGTTGCCGCTAAAAAGAACCTCGGTAGCAGACTGAGAATAAATATCGAACGTGACATTCTGCTATTAGACTTTTAATAATACACATATGTATTTCTGTGCTTCTTTTTTAATATTAATATACCGGCGTTTAAAAGTTTATTAATTAATATGCTAGTTTTATTTTAAAATCTTATAAAATAAATAGGGGTGACACAAATTTAAATCTTTAGTTCATAACAACTCACCTTCCAGAAACATACTTTATAATTTTTTAGTAATAAAATATATTTTTTAAAAAATCATTAGTGTTATTCAAGATATAACATATATGTATATTTATAAGTTCAATTTTAATAACATAGTAGAAAGATATAAGGTTAGTTCCAATAGCGAATCTGATCATTAGAAGGACGTATCAGAAGGGCGCATTGAAAATAGTCCGTTCCTACAAAGCCACGGATAATCCGATCAGTAAAATGTTCCAACGTATTTTCTGATTTGTATATGAATGAGTCGGCGGATTGTCAAAACGATTCATCGCCTGTACAATTTATCAGCACATGCGCATTTGAACGTCTTTTCTCGTTCATGCCATTTATAATTGATGGGAGTTTAAGTTAGCTTGGAGTGGCTTGGGTTTCTATTTCTTTCAATTAAAATTATTAATTTTTGTTTTTATCTTGTGTACGTTTTCTTAAGTACTTATTTTTAATATAAATTAACATCTTAAGACTTGTAACGGTTGGAACCGTTTTCGTTATTTGACCCAGACATTATAACGGTCGGAACCGTTATCGTTATTTTGAAATCAATATCTTTACACAAATGTCATTTGTCGTTTATGCCTTGTGTCAAAACTCGGATTGTCATTTCATTTTATCTCTGTCGACAAGCAAGTTGATTATTGAATTTTAATTATCTTTTATCTTAGACATCCGATGTACTAATTATCTTTAATATTTTGAATGACCGTCTGATTTTAAAAAGCCCTGCTGTATATAGATGGTCCTATAGAAGTTATATAGATGGTTCAATAGAAACTATATAGATGGTTCAATAGAAGTTGTATCTAGATGAAATTTGGAAGAACGTACAAAGCTGCCTGTTTAGAATATATCAAGAAGTTTAGTCCAACCACCGAAAGAAGTTAACGAGATTTAACTTTACCTATGAAAATTTAACAAGAAGGCCTCTACAGTCACTCCTTAAATGTTACCTCTGATTCAACAGATAAGTTATTAATAAATCATTTAAATTTGAATAAGTAAGTCTCTGTGAATTAGAATTCGTCGCTACCTTATCTAATACCTTATTTAATTATCATATCTAAATGGTTAGTGATTTTCTATATTTTGTTACACTCCGTTTTTATTTTTAAGTATTATTTGCTATTAAATATAGTTATTAATTTCGAACCCTACCTCCTATAATATATTATCCTTATTTTGTGTTAATTAGTGCATTTCTTTATTCGTAACATTTCCTTTTATATTATTCTCCTTTGAATACATTAATATAATACATATAATTTAATATAAATCCGTAATTAATTGATTTGTTTATTTTTGTAATCATGCCTATGTTCTAATTACTACCAGTTGTCAAATTTATTATTGGAATAATAAATTCTATGGCTTTGTCCTGTACAGTCAGTGCGCTCTGTTCCGAATTGCTCGGATAACAGGCGATAACTGTGGTCTTGGTTCGAGTGGTTCTGCTCCGGTCCGCATGCAGCCAACGTCGAATGGGATTACCTGTTTTTTTATTGATTAGGGTTTTTGTTTTGGTGATATTAGATTCTAATATGTAAATATTATAGTATTACTGTCATTAGGGTTATTGTAAATTTGTAATTAGTGATTTTAAGTAACATTATCTACCGAGCACCTGTCAAGGTAACGTGGGCTGAATAGGTCTACATTTAAAAGGCCATTAATTTTTTTTTGGTACGAAGAGAGATCTCGATTGGACTTGGAAAAATTCGGCCTCTCTCGTTTCAAATGTGGTGCTGATAAGTTGTCGAGGTTGTTGAGCGTTAAACATTAGTTTGTCACCGGTAAGTGGTGGATTTAGGCTACAACCTACAAAAAGTTTCCCACTTTATTGGTTCTGGAATATAACCAGGCAAATTGGTTGATTTTGAGTTTTGTTTGGTGTTTGATTGTGTGGAAACTACTCCAATTAGGAGGATCGTCTGACTTCGTTTATGCAGCCACGTGGAACAGCGGGAAAACACCCGCCATCTTCAGAGGCCTTTGATGGCAGAAGTTATGGATTTCTCAAGTCGTTCGGGTTACTACTGGCCTTTTTATTCTTGTCTTGGCGCAGTGAGTGTGAGGGGGTGACTTCCAAAGTAACCCTAGAAGAAACTCCAGGCTGGAACCCGAGTTTTCTCAACCTCTCCGAGACTTCCAACGTTCATCCTAAGTCCAAGAACCAGGGCGAAATTTGGAAAACTACATCTGTGGGGAATCCTAATCCTAGGACCTCCCTATCAATGGCGGAACAGATAAGTCCTATTATTTTATTAATTTCAGTGCACCTAGTAGTGTACCGTTTCTCATTACTACAGTCCATAGTGGGGGTAGTGACGCGCCTTTTTATTGTTCAGGGTGGGAGCAGCTGATTGGTTCACGATGGAACCAGGGGTCGTCACACCAATAAAGGTGAATCTAGTAATTCACTATTATTAATTAAGAATTTATTATTATTTCCATTTATTAATCATGTTTAATATGAACTTTTATTGTTAATGGAGTTTAATTCACTATTGTGTTCTTTTCTCTTTTTCTTCTAGCTATAGTTATAAACCATTTAGGGGTGGAACAAGAAAGTTTATTAAATATTTATCTTTCATTACTAAATATTAATTCCTCAGGTTACTTAGTTATATTTAATTATTTCTTTGACCGATTGTGACTTTCTATTTCCATGCCGTCTTTGAGTAATTTTATTTTCCCCCTTTTTAGTTGATAAGATTTTGTGCAATGAGTAAGTGTCACTAGTACTGATGTACCAATGTATTTTTAGTTTTAATATATGAACTTTTGTTTTCCTTAGAAACATGTATTAACGGTCTATTTTTGCAGATAGTTCTATTGCGAAAGGTCCCCCCCTTTGTTCGAACAAATGAAGCCCTATTGATGTATTTGCAAAAAAAAAATATTTACAACAATAAACCACCCCCATTAACAATGACCAGAGTTTTTCATTTAAACAAGGCAGTTTAGTCCAGCTTGACAGCGCTGGACCTTTTAAGGTGAGTCTCTTTAATTCTTTTAAAGTAAATCACTTGTTTACTATAGTTCAAGGTAGTGTTGGTCTAAGGTGAGTACTATACCTCACTACATAATAACAGTAAAGTAATGATTATTGGAGTTTATAGTTTTCTATCCTCACAATAACGAGGGATCTAGTGAATTGGATCAGCCCATATAAATTCATTGGCACGGTTTAAATTTCAGAACCCAGCTCCTGAGCTAGCAGGTGTGTTCCCAAGGCGTACTAAGGGCGATAGATAACTCTCTTATTCATTTATTATTAAATTAAAGAACGCCGGTAACAATTTTATCACTAATCGATAATCAAGTTTAGTAAGTTTTAAATATAGTGGCGTCCAACATTCTTTTTCAAAGTAATACGAGTTGTTTAATAACCTGACCCACCCCCAAAATCATAGAGCTTAAAACACTATAAAAATAGATAAAATAATAAGATCATATTACAGGTTTCAAAATTATACATTCACATAGAGCATTCGAGACAACTAAATAAATGTATATTGTTGTATTTTAAATAATGTTTAAAATATCAGTTTACCAAACATATGTTTGGTTTGTCCAATTCCATTGTATTTTGCGTTCCAACAAGTACAAGTCGCTGATTAAACAACGGACTGACATGCGCAATTATTAGTTTACGAATGCATCCATGCACGAGTCAGAGACACATCAGAAAGGAGCTGTTGGAACAAACTTATAATTACGAACCCAGTCACGTGATCGCGAGCGATAGATAGTTTACACCGTGCAAAA